CCCCCAGCCACCCACTGGCTTCTGCGTCAGCACGTTGCCAAGGAGCACGTCAGCATCTCTGGGCTCCTGGGTGTGAGGGCTGCAGCGAGCGCAGGGCAGCACCTTGGAGCGACACAAGGCAGATTCCGGGTGTCCATGGACCATAGTAACTGCAGATACAGGAGCTGTGCCAATCCTCAGCCACTAGTCTCACTCTTGTCCCATCCCTGTCCTAGACTGATTTGATGGTTCCTCCACCTGCCCGGGACCCGTCCCCCTTGCAGCCCTGGCCGACTCTTCCAGACGGCACGAGAGGCCAGAACACAGCCCAGGGACACATGGAGATTTCTCTTGGGCACCCGTCCCCTGGCTGATCCTGCAGGGCGGCAGCAGTGCCTGTGGTCTCTGTCACGGGTGGGGTGCTGAGCCTCAGATGCAGGCAGCACTAGCTGGCTGCCCACCCACATGAGGACCCACCACGGGCTGCTCACTCAGCCAGGCCCATGGCAGGGGCTCTGTGCCTCCCTTTTACTGCATTTACACAAGGCTCAGTCACAGAGATGGTCACTCTGCAGCCTCAGGAGGACTGCAGAAAAGGAAAAGTGAGAAGCCGGTACCCACCTGCCTATATGGAGGGACAAACAAGGGTGGCCGTGACCAGCGGAGCCTGTGTCCACACTTCCCCCATTGGAGACACAGTGGATGTCAGGGGGACACCAGCACCCTTGCTGGGAGCCTTGGGCAGTTTGGGGAGGCAGCCACTTGCCACGCAAGTGCTGCACTTACAGATCAGCTAATGGACTCTGTGGCCGCTTAACAGTGGAGGGATCATTCAGAAGAGACAGATTAAAAGGGCTGCTTGTAAAGCGTCAAATGTTCTCATGTGGAAACCCACCAGGAACTCACTGCCCATTTCCCTGTGGAGCTGTCAGCATTCCCAGCCCCATGGAGGGCCCATTGTGCACCTGCTGTGTACCCGCTGTGCAGGTGCAGGGCCCAGGCTGGAGGCGTGAGGATGAGCCCAACTCTAGGAGCTTGGGGTGGGGGGACAGTCACACCAGCACAGCCACAGCTTCATGTCCACAAACTTGTGCTGCCAAGACACCTGCCCCTTCTTTCCAGAGCCACAGGAGCAGTTCCAGGGTTTCCCCTGTTTTGCTTTTATGTATGACCAGTGGTGGCCACTCAGGCCCCACAGGAGGGCTGGGCCATATCAGTGCTCACCATGGGAGGCCTGGTGTTTCTACCACCTACCAAAGATAGCTGTTTACATGTCGGGGAGGGTACTCCAAGGATGGGCGGGACACAAGGACATGTTTTTTGGGAGCAAGTTCTGCAGGTGGTGGGTGCTTCAGCAGCCAGATTCCAGGTGGGTGCCCTCTGCCAAGCCCTGGCCAATGGTCCCTTGTCCTGGGGTCCTTGGGGTCCTGGGGAGCCACTCCCCACCTCCAGGCAGGTCAACAGCCCCACCACACCTGGCACTTGTCTTAGCCCTAACTATTCTCACCACAGTGGATCCTGGGTTGCTCTGAGCCTGTGGTCCCCAGTCAGCAAGTGATGAGTGTCTACTCACCCAGAGTCCTAGGCTTCACATGCATTCCCCTGGGGTGCTGGCACCAGCCTGCCATAGGCAGAGAGAGAGAGAGGGAGGGGTGGAGAAGGGAGCATGTCCAGGAACCTATTTGAGGACATAGTATGCCTTGGGCCTGATGAGCTTATGGTCTAGAAACAGAGACAGTTATATCCCTTCCTCCCCTGAAGTCAGCTGGCGACAGCATCAATCAGCCACTTGAGAACCCAATGCCCAGGGATGGCCTCACCTGGCTCCCTGGTACCCACCAACGCTGGCCTTGTGCTCACTGTGGCTAGCCTTGAGGTAGCCCTGTGAAGCAGCTGCCTGGGTCCAAAGAAACCAGGAGAGCCTGCTC